AAAAAAAAAAAAAAAAAAAAAAAGATGCGAGAAGCAACAGTTGTTAGAAATGGGATGTATGTCTAAATCATAGTCAGTCAGGTATCAATTTTTCTGTTGAAGTCGCATGTTTGTTAACAGTTTATTTATGCACTATAGACAAATGATGGGTGAACAGCTTTCTGGTCTGAGCGTCAAAGATTTACAGAACTTGGAGAACCAACTGGAAATGAGTCTCCGTGGTGTTCGTGTAAGAAAGGTACGAAACTTCCAGATCCATCAAATGTGTACTATCTTATATGAACTAAGAAAGAACTAACTCAACCTCTCATTTCTACAGGATGAAATTCTGATTGATGAGATACAAGAACTAAACCGAAAGGTCAATCAACATAAATGCAGTGACTTATTTTCAATTTGTTCTAAAAAGGATAACTTTTAAAGAAGCTAAATTAACTTTTTTCCTTGCAGGGAAACCTCATCCATCAAGAAAACATGGAACTATATAAGAAGGTAAACCTAATTCGTCAAGAAAATATGGAATTGTATAAGAAGGTATCTATGTACATCACTAAGAGCTTTCACTGCGCTTCAAGAACAATTATTTCCTTTCGTATTCATATACCAAATAAAAATGTTTCACCATTCTACTTAGAACTCTAGCAAATTGTTTCTACATTTTGTGTTAAACTTCAGGTTTATGGAAATAGAGATGCAAATGGAGTGAGCGGAAATTCCCTTGCTCCGAACAGTTTAAGCATTAATGAAGACCCCCACGCTCCTGTACATCTCCAGCTTAGCCAGCCACAGCAACAAAACTATGACACATCAGGAACTACCGAATTGGGGTAATTTCTTATTCATATACTTCATCTGGAAGCACAAGGGTAGCTCACTACCTTGATCATTGACTATCATCTAACTGGAACATGCTGCAGGCTACAGCTGCATTAGCGGGAAAACCAGACTCGTAAGAGTTTTGAGTTCTCATGTTGAAGAAGCAGCCCGTGCTTACAAAGCTATGTTTTAATTAGTAATGGTAGTAGTGGTATAGGACCAGGGATGTCAGGAAAAATCTTCCGTTTCATATGGTTAATGTCAGCAAGTTTGACAAGTGTGAGGTAATCCATAGCACAGCTACTTAAGTCAAAATAACAACAAATAAAAGAATACATTGGCACAGTATCTCTAAGTTCTTCATCTTTCTCGACACTTGATGCTTATGATGTGTATGCATATATGCATATAAAACAGGAGCAAGAGCGAAGAAATGTAAGCAGAAAAGGTTTTACAAAACAGTAGCTCCTCATAGAAATTCCTTGAGAAACACACCACATGCAAACAGTACAGATCTGAGCTAAGCAACTTAATACGTTAAGACATACCTCAAAGTTGCATCAATATGCTTTGCATGCAATAGGCTTCAGCAAGGACAAACTAAGTTCATTACACACCAATGTCAAATTTCAGCATTCAACTGGAAAAGAAAATTACACAATACGAATTTATATTAGTAATGCTCTTCCCGGGAATTTCAGAATGAATGATCTTGAGCTTGAAGACTGAATATGTATAGAAAGAATTATATCAGGAAACAATATATGAAACATATTTCACAATTTTGAGTACTACATTCTTTGCTGCCAAATACAGTAAGTGCTTTTTTTTTTTAAATAAGGAATATAGTAAGTGCTTCTTAAACAAGTTATTTCTGGATCACAAGGATACCATTGCTAAACCGACACGAATGGCATGCCCAATCAACAACAATTTCTATACTACAAAAGACAAAGTCTCACCAAATTATCTATTTGTACAGCAATGGATTGCACACTTAAATTAACAAGAAAGCATTCATGCTTAGGTCATGAACTGTCTCATCATAAAGTTCATCTCAGGCAGAAGTCTTCTGTATTACTTCAGGAAATACACATAGGCAGAACACAGTCATCTAAAAAGGTGTAGAGTCTTAACCACAAAAGACTATTCAACTGCTATCTGGATGTAGTTTACATGACGTGAATGAAGGAATATTGGGTAGTGAATAATACTAGGGAATTGAAAAAAAGGCAAAAACTTCACGGAGCTTATCAAAGTTTAGTGTGTAGGTACTACATATTGACAAGGTAAAGGAATTAAAACTAGAAATTTGAATTTCTCTTCAAACAGCAAAACTGCAAGCATGCAATGTTACCAAAGAATATGATCCCACCTGCTCGGGAAATTCCAGAAAATTGTGTAAAATAAACAAAAAGGAGAAGTTTCTTCTTAGTTTTTAGTGGAATAATCAGCACCGCTGAGCATCCTTTACAATGCCAATACCAACAATGGTTGGAAAACTTATTACAACCAAAGCTCAATAATGGCAGCAGCAGCAATTTCAAACACTGAGAATACAAAACATAATTAAACAATCTCTCTTAGTCAAAGATTCTCAGTTCAAGACAACTAGAAACAAAAGAGGTGTAGATAAGGTTTCATATTGGCTTAGCACTTCGATAAAAATGAAGACAGCTAGCGTAGTAAGGATCATAAAGATGCAGAATCGAACAAATTCAGAGGAAACTGACACGACTCAAGGAAAAAGAATGGACCATCTAGTGTTACTGCAGTATCTCAACTAAATAACACTTTACATCAATGTAGCAACAAGATTAAGAATTCCTTGACAGGCCGGACAAGGATAGCCCTTGTACAGAGCAAGGATCTATACACCATATTTCAGTAAGATGGCATGTTTCTCTCTTGGAGATGCCAATATTGAGGTTCTTTCAAATTGTCCTTTTTTAGTTATATATAGTAAGCTAAGTTAAGCCACTTGAATCCTTTATTTTCAGTTCTATCATGGTTTAATTGAAGGTCATCATGAAAATTTTAGTCATCATGAGAATTTTAGCAACATAACAAATGCGCAATCTTATTTAGAGGGTCTAAGTAAATAAAACTACAGAAAGGTAAATATACTAGTATGCACTGTTACGACCATAGCATTAATATGTTATCCTGTTAACAGGACAGGCAAGGAAATAGTGTAGTAACCTTATTCCTGAACTTCATTTGTAGTGCCTAAAGTTTAAGTTTGAGGCGCCATTATAATTGAGTATGAGGTCAAATCACCAAGCTTTGTTTCCCCTTTCTTTAAGAGCTCAGAATTTTTTTAAACTTTATATATGTATTAACCCACTTCAACCATTCCAAAAAATTGGCATTACTCAAGGTAGGTGAACTAGAGACCGTAAGCTAGCCCAGCTTATTACTTCCCAAAACTTAACGCTTATTGTGAACGAGCTCTCTATTTCACAGAAAAGGAGATTGGCAGAAAAAGGAAGGGAGTGAAGTACAATTGGGGAGGAGTTGGGACTTGAACCATCTTGATATAAGAGGCACAGACTCAAACAAATATGAGAGGCAGATATATACTCTACAAAAAGAAAAGAAAATGTATTATGGTGATATGTTGGTAAGAGAGTACGAATACAAGTGGCGAAGCTAGGATTTCCGCCACGGGGATTCAAAAAACAAAAAAGTAGGCATGCAGAGAGGCCAAGGGGATTCAATACCTAATATATTTACATAAAAATTTTGACCTTATATATGCAGTGTAATTTTCCGGCAAAGGGAACCCCCTTCCGCCACCCTAGCTCCGCCCATGCATTGATGCACGCACATTTGTTCAAAAGCATATAAACAAACAATGTATAGCAATAGCATTATGATCTTGTCATCTTGATGTCTATCATAACCATTTTATTTATTCTTGAATCATATTTTCACAGTTAAGACATGACATCTATTGTATTGAAAATGTGGTAAAAAGTCATTTTTGTTGCATTAAACAAAGCAACTGTAACTGAGTTATATCAGTAAAAAATGTGTCTAATTTATTTCTTCTATCCCTCAAAAACCTATTACTTCCTCTATCACATTTTTCTTTTTCCCTTTTCCTTTTTTTGGAAAAAGGGCCACTTTTATTATTTTGGGAGTTCTTTGACCACAACCACCCTTTTTTAAACCTTTCAAATATTTTGAATTATTAACTTTTGTGACCTATGGTACCTTTTATGCAGTTTCCAACTATGTAAATTTTATTTCAAAAACTTGAAGAATCCATGTTTAAATCCACACCAAAAATTAGGTACTTTAGCCGTTGTACTGTAAAACAGAGGAATTATTCAATTAAAATCACTAGGAACCTGTATGATGCACTTTATTCAAGGATATGATTAAACGAATGCACTAAAGATTTCCATCACATCCAGGACTATCTATGGAATGTAATCCGGACCAGCTCAAATAGGACTAAGTACTAACTGCCTTGTCATTTACCAAAATGCTAATAAATCCCACTAGCCACCAAATGTATGGTAGAAATCCATTTCAAAATAAGACTACGTTTAACGAAAGGAAAATATGACAGTTCAACATAATCAGGACCAAAAAGAACTGTCCAATGAAAAAGAAAAAATAGCACATCAAATCAAAGCTCTAATCCTATAAAGATAAGGAGAAAGAATACCATGCAATACCCATATAACTATATCATTTACACGATGGAAAGGCTATAAGAACTAGATAATAAGCTGCATTTAGTCCCAGGTAGTTTGACAGAAGGGGAACCAACCATACAATAGGATCTCATTTAGTTGCTCTATGTTATCTTCCTTACCAACTAGACTTATTTCACACTCCTTCATGTCTATCTTCAGACTCAAAGCTACCTAGATAATTACGTGCTTTTCAAGTAGCGGAGTTGATGCGCCTCGGGGTCATAATATGCAAGAGTACTGTCCGCAAAAGAAGATGAAACATCCCTACATTGGTCCAGCCTTCCATGCTAGCTACAAGGATCTTAGATAACCCCCAATCACAACTCTATTTGTAGCTTTGATGAGCAATTCTTGAACAGCAACAACAGCCCCCCAAACGTCCAACAGTAAGAACTCCCTCTCCCACTGACTGCCTCTTCTCTCCCTATGTTGCTAAAATCCACTCTTTTTAATTTAGAGTTTTATGTCCACATTATCATCATTCAATAACTCCTCTTACTTCCTTTTTCTCCATATTCTACCTATTTCACCTTTATTGTGTCCATAAAATTCCTCCTCCGACTAGCAATTGCTAACAGATAAAAAGAATTTATGTTGCAATCACCCTTCTTCAACCACAATATCCTCAAATTTTATCTCCATTTAATGCTTGGGTGACTGTCATGTTAGCTAATTACTCTTTTACCTCATACTTCCTAATTCATCCCTCTTAATTAAGCCCCCTCTTGCTTTCCTCTCCAATTGTCCCAATTCATTCATCAGTTCCCTTGTTATATTTTTATCCTCTAAAGTACTTCTCCAGTCCATCTTAAATAATTTGTTAGCCGCTTCAACTTCTTCGCCATACAAAAAGAGGAGCCCTTTGGATATGGTACTCCCTCCATCCAGCCAGCACTGACCGATTCTAATTGTTAGGAAGGGCACTCCTTATTCTGCTACAATCTACAAAATCAATATAGGGTTTAATATTAGCAGAGAAGAAGCAATTTGGATAAATATCAGTAGCATCCCCTCCCAGACTGTTGGATGAGAAACTTGTCGAGCCTTGATTGACTCTTCAGTTGTGGATCAGATAAATTAACAGCTGTCATGGGAAAGTCAACAAATGGGAGAGAGTTGATTACATCGTGAATTTACCATTGCCCAAAGGAATGGCATACCACCTCTTTCTTTCCTTTTAAAACATTAATGTTCTAGCCAGTTCGCATGCACTCGACTAATCCATCAGGTAACTTCCATTCTGTCATCTCCCATAAGCACATGTATCGGAGAATAATGACCTACTATATTTGCCTATGTTGGGATTTAAACGCTGGCCTCACATTCCTCTCTTTCCTCCAGGAGTCTTATTGCACTGCAATCCCGAGCTATCTCACATTACTCCATCGTAGCATCACCAATGAGATCTCCTCTCAAAACTCCATTTTGACCCCTCACTTGCCGACCCATCAATTTCACTCGACTAAACTATCCACACTTTCAAAGATCACAATAATTGTGGAATCTCCTTCATCACATCTCGAAACTTCAACATCGACATGTCTTATAACACCACAATCTCTTCTTATCTCCTCCTAATTTATAAGCATATCATTTTCACTTCTCACTCTTATGTTTTCACACACTTATGATAATTGACTCTGGTATTTTTTTTCATTTTTATTTCTTGCAAGCACGCTAATCATACATTTCTCCTTTAACCCCACCTTGATAATGGCCCTTATACTTTGAGGCATTCACTCTTCTCACCCCACTCTATCTATCTCTTCCTTCTCCTATTAGCCCTTCCCTTCATCCCACATGGATCCATAACTTATATTTTTATAATTAGCATTAATAACTTATACTTCTTGGATCACAACTTATATTGCATCTAAATACTTTACTCTCTTTAATTTTTTTTCATTTGCCCCACTCAATTATCTCATACGCTCCTCAACTACTCATTTATGTTTTCGTAGGCTCATGTCAAATACTTCCTCCTTTTCAACCATAGAGCTTAGGAAAGAAAAGAAGATTTTTGAAACTTCCAATCGTAAATATGTCATAACATTTGTGTGGCTATAATACTTTTGAAACTTTTGATCTTAAATATGCCGGAATATTTTTTTGGCTACAAAAGCTTCTTAGAAAGGGTAAAATGAGAAGTCACATTTAATTTAGAAAGAGGTAAGTCTTTTTGGAATGACTAAAAAGAAAATAGGATAACATAAATTGGATCGGAGAGAATATGAGTTTATTGGTCTCTCCTCGAACTGTAAAATGAAAACCCTAATTTTCTATTAAAAAAAATCCTTAATTTATGTTAGTACATGTGTTTAAATACAAAAAAGTAGGTTAGGTAGCCAAGCCATTTCACGAGGAAAATCGCTTTGAATATGATCTCTAAACAATTCTAGAGGAACAAAGCTAGTTAACGATAAAACATTATTTTCCTAGAGTAATGGGTAAAAATTAACATGGTGTGACTAGATTTTAATTGGATTGCCAAGTGGTATTTCAGTTCAACTTCTACCGTAGGCCATTATACTGGTAAAATGGTCAATTTCTTGTTGATAGTGTTTAGCTATCTGTATTTTAAATGATGTAGCATGGATACACTTTATATCAATAACACCAAAAATTATGATAACATTAACAGGAAGGCAAAACGTATTGCAGATCATAACACAGTTCCCAGGAGAAGCCATAAGACAGCGGCACTAAGAGTACATCACACAGGTAGGAAGCATATTTCACACGCCATAAGGTAAAAGTTACTACTAGTATCTATTTCTTGTGATGAATTAGTGCCAAAAGAGAAAAAATACAGCAGAAACCAAAAAAAAAAAAGGGTACATGCAATAACAAATATGGATCCATCACAGATTCGACCGAGAAACATTAAAGTGATTCTTTCTATGAAATACTAAAGCGAATTAATTAGCAACAGTACATCAAATGTGACATTAAAGCCAACATAAGATGCTTATGGACCTCGTAAAGAAACGGAACTCCAATAACTCGGCAAAGAAAAGCTTTGTGCAAAGAAGAAAGAAGAAACTAATTGAAACATTTATTTAATTTAAATATGCAATAAATATGATAGAAACAGCATTACGATTTACGCACCTGAAAAACGAAGCAACGGCATTTCCGCAATGCTGGGAGTGATTACATATTGTATCTTCTAAAAACTTATGATCTGAGAAAAGTTCCAGAAGAAAATTGAAAAAACAAAACGAAAAACGATCCCGATCAGCAAGTTGAACTAAATTATACTCCTATGATGAAAAGAAAACATGAAACGTATAGCAAAAGTATCGCAATACGTAGTCAGTCTATAAGCAAAGGTGAAAATTGCGTTTAGCATATGATATTAAAAAAGATTTTTTCTATATTTCTTAGAAACAAAACATAAAAGCGATGAATGAACCACCGCCATTAATGGCCAAAAAAATTGCAATTTCATAGTGTTGTGAGTGATCGAAAAGTTAATCAGACAATTTGAGGAGAAGATGAATGAAGATGCACTGAGAATTGAAAGAAAAATAAGAGTAATTTCAATGGCTTTTTCAGCAGAAAGAGAAACGGGAGAATAGATACCTACCAGATAAGTTTATGGAGACGGAAAGAGAGGAGAGAACAATGAANTGCCCCCACTAGATTTGGTTTGGGTAATTTTGATTCTCTGGGTACTGCCAAACTGGTGATTATTTTATTGAGATGAGAAATCCGTGTTCTTGTGCTTCTCCGAATCTCTGGGGACCTGCTGCTGTTTTACTGTGAGTCTGTGAGTATTAGGTGAGAGTATTAATTTTATTTGAATCTAATTTTTATATACATTTAACAATTTACTCAAAAAATTGTAATTATAAATATAGACTGCTAAAACAGAAAAGAAAACAAATAAAGTGTATATTTTTAAAAATAGCATATTAACTTAATTCATCTTAATTTTTATTTGAGTTGTTTTCCACGGATAGCATAAAAATTATGAAATCAAGTCAATTAAAGACCAATTGTATGTAAGTGTTATATATTATGTGAAACATTTAGCAGCTTCAATTTCTTGGCCGAGCAGAAATTGATCGCTCACCTCCTTCTACTATAGTTTACAAATTAGTACTCCATCAGTAATTCTAGAAAAAATAATTAACTTTAAGTTTTTTTATTTTACTCTTAACGAGATGACTTTTAGCTACAGAAATTTCTATCTCTTTATTTAGACTAAAGTTTTAGAAATCATTTTTGTCTTTTAAACTTCGTGTCATGTCAAACACTCTCACATAAATTGAGACAAACGGGTGATGCTAGTTAAATAGGAGAAATTGAGAGAAAATTCATTCTCACCCAATTGAGATAAGAAACGTGTTCGTTTCTCTTTTACCTAGTTTAGATGCCTCCCCTTTTTCTATTCTTCTTCACTTAAACATCAAACCTCATCCTTCATTCAAACTCAAACTCAAACTCGTAACATGTACCTTATACACATCCTGTGTTGTAATACTTTTATTGTTGAACCAACGCCATAGGACTATGAATCATAACTTGTATCTCTAAATTTCTTTAACTCTCAACTTTTTCTATTTATATCCTCTTCACGACTCACTTTCCATCGTCATCATATCATATTTAAACACACTTTATTGATGCCTCTTCAAACCATGGAAAGATAGCTCCAATTTGTCCTAACCCGAAATTTTCTTCCCTATTGATTTTGATAAATGTGCCATTATCTTCATTTGCTCCTTTCAGAATTCCCCACATTGTTATAGATTAGACCACAAGTTAGTACCACAACTGATTTTTTCGTCTCGGCAATGCTTCCACATGGACCCTTCTTCATTTCTAAAAAAAAGTGAGGATAATTCTTATTGTGATAGGTTTAACAACACTAAATGTGTCCTGATAGTCTACTCCAACTTCTTGATTGAAATCCTTTGATGCAACTCTTGCTCTGTAGCGTTCAATGGAACCATCAACAATAAGTTTCAACTTGGAGTGATCATCTACATCCAACAACGTGCTTAGCACCAGAGGAAGGTACCAAAGTACAAGTTAGATGAAAGCATTATAAAATGAATGCAATTTATTCCTCTTGCATAGCATGTCTTTAATTTGCAATCTTACTTGCTTGAGAAAAATATGTAGGTTCAAGGAGGAGTGCGGGAGGCGGTAGTGAATATTTGGCGATGGAGTCATTCCCTATATGTGCACCTTAACCACATCCTCTTCCTAACTTGCCACCGTGATGTTGATTGAGGCTTGAGACCTTTTGAAGTTTTTATCAACTTTTAAGGTATTTGAATCTCGAACAATGAGATCAGATTGAGTAAATTTCTGCTATATAACATTCATCGATCTACTCCAAACTTAACAAGACGAGGCCATGAAGATCGATATTCCTTACTTGCCACCGTGATGCTGATTTAATACTTGATGGGACCTTTGAAGTTGCATTAAGTTTTTAAAGTATTAGAATCTTGAATGGCGAGATAAGCTTGACTAAAGTTCTGCTATAGAACATTCATCTACTCCCAACTTATAAATTAAGAGGGAATAAAGATAGATAAGAGCGATAGGACCTGGTCAAAAAGTGGCAGACACGTACGACTAATCCATCATAATAAGGTAATAAACCTCTAACAATGTAGAGAATCAAATCTCCATCAGAGACTGGTTGAGTAGCTGCAGAAAGGTTATAATTGTATGTTCATTTTTTGCAGGTAATCCACCATGGAAGAGGTTACTTTTGGTGTTCTGCAATTGTATCCCGAGTTGCATTAACCTAGCTCACACAAGATTGAGAACAAACACTCACACAACCCACAATCTACACAAGGAATTCTTGTCATCAAACGAGAAAAGAAGCCAACTTAAGAGTAGTGACATGTTTCTTCCATGTTAAGTAAAGTGGGTTCAAAACTACTTACGTAGTGATTCATCACTCGAACGCGAGGTTAGAGGTTTGGAGGAAGACCATGGAGTTTAAAGGTTTCAAGTTGAGCAGGGCTAAGACAAAATGCTTGGAGTGCAAGTTCAGTGGAGCGACTCAGGAAGTGGACGGAGATATGAAGCTTGAATCACAAGTCATCCCTATGAGAGAAATACAAAGAAATGGGCAGATTGACGAGGATGTCACATATCGTATTGAGGCGGGATAAATATAATAGAAGCTCGCTTCCGGTGTTTTATGTGTTAAGAATGTGCCATCAAAACTTAAAGGTAAGTTTTATAGAGCAGTGGTCAAACCGACTATATTGTATGGGGCTGAGTATTAGCCAGCCAAGAACTCCCATGTCCAGAAGATGAAGGTAGCAAAAATGAGGATGTTAAGATAGATGTGCGGGCATACTAGGTTAGATAAAATTAGGAATGAAGTTATTCGTGACAACGTAGGCATGACCCCTGTAGAGGACAAGATGGGGGGAAGCGAAACTTAGATGGTTCGGGGATGTGAAAAGGAGAGTCACCTATGCCACAGTAAGTAGATATGAGAGGTTGGTCTTAGAGGGCCTATAAAAAGAGGCAGAGGTAGGCTGAAGAAGTATTGGGGAAAAATTATTAAGCAAGACATGGCGATTCTCCAGCTTACCGAGGACATGGCCCTGGATATGAATGTTTGGAGGTTGAGAATTATGGTAGACGACTAGGTAGCACAGTGTTATCCTTGCTCGTTCTAGTAGTTTTAGTAGATTGCTTAGTGTTAGTCTTGTATTTTCTTATTATTAGATTTTGGTTATTACTTATTGTTCCTTTTGCTTGAGTTTTATGATTGGTTTGTTAGTGTTGTTGCTTGTTGTTACTCCTTCCTCTCTATCATTCCTGAGACGAGGGCTTGCTTAAAATAGTCTCTCTAAGGTGTGAGTAAGATCTACACTCTACCCTTTTCAGACCCCACTTGTGAGATTACACTGAATTTATTGTTGTTATTTTTGTCATGTAATGATTGGAAGCTAATGAATTCAACTAATTGCATATGCTTATTGAGGAGTTCTTCCCTCGACAAATACAATTATGCATAACGACAAACAAGTTAATTAGAGTTTGAATTTGGAAAGAGGTTTCAAAAGGTTAAGTTACCTATTCATTGGCAACTACAACTTGTATTTCAAACTAGGTATTATTCTTTAACTTATCTTTAACATCCAAGACCAGCTCTCTGAAGAAGCTACAAGTACTTACTGTATAATTTATGAAGCATTTGGTTGGTGCTATAAGTGCATTGGTGGGAAAAAAGTTAATGACGCGTGGAACATCAGCAAGGTGACAAGTGGCAGATCCAATTTAGTAAATTAAAAGAATTGAAAATGCACGAGCGGAATACCCCCGATGTTTTGTCGGAAAAGGTATCGGACTTGACAACTGGAAAAGAAAAAATAGGTACGGAATGGATGAAGACCATAAAGAGGGAAGGTTCATGAAACTGTTATAAATAAGGAAGGGAATCGGCATTGATCGTGGTTATGAAAAATCCTCGGTCATTAATGCCACCGTTAAGACTATATGTGGTAACGGTCAATCAAGGCAATTAATGTCATTAACAAGACAGAATTAAGTATGGGAATCGTTATAATTATGTATCCTTATATAAGGATCCGATCCTCATTTATAAAAGCATCTGAATTTTTATTAATATATGCAATTAGTCTTTTACTTTATTCAAAAGGTTCAAACCGCAATTCTGGGAGAGATCAACGATCTACTTTAAGTTCTCTTTCCTTGTCTATTATTTCTATTATTCTTTTTAGGCCAAATACATATACAACCCCTTAAACTTGGCTCCAGTTTCCATTTAGACACTTTAACTATGTCAAATACCTATTGAACACTCCAACTTAATTTCAAGTGTACCTATTAAACACTTCATGTGACGTGGCATAATATGTGATTTTCACTCAAAGTTGGGCGCGTGAATAAGAAATATAACATTTGTTTTTTTTTTCAAACATTTTTTTTTATTCTCTGTCTTTCTCTTTCATCGTCTCTATCACTAATATCCCTTCAGATTTTCCTTTTCTTAATTTCTTCTCTGGATCTACTTACGGATTCATCCCACTTTGAACATTGATTAACTTGTTATTTCACTTCAAATTTGATAAACTTACATGCCAAAGAAGAAGTGTAAACCTAAAAATGATTTATCGAGAGAGACCGAAAAAACCTTGAAATCCAGAAAAAAAAAAATCTAGCAATTTCGGA